AGAGGCTTCAGAGAAACAGGAAATGGCACTGGTGCAGGAGAGTGGATCTGACCTGAACACAAGTGTGTCAGCTGTACCTTGAACTGACCAAGCAGCTTGGGGGTCTGAACAACAGTTTAATAACTTGTAGAGCATGGACTCAGCCCGGAAAGCTGCTCTCATCCTAAGCAGCAGGTCTGCTTTGTAGCAGGCGTGTGCGAGGACTTCAGAGGTGTCTGTTGCTGGGATCCTTACATGTAAACTTTGTATTTGTGAAAATGGCCCTTTAAGTATATTTAATTTTTTTTTTTTTTTTGCCACGTACTTATTTAAAGGCAGCAATATTTTCTTGGTCACACCATTTTTAATGGAATTTCTCTCATGTTGTTGAGGGCTTTAATAAAGGTTCCCCACCATGGTCTCACGATTAGTGTGTTTGACTCTTAGCCTCCTGCTTCATTAAAAGGGGGTGGGATGGGCTAGAACCAAATGGGCAGTGTTTAGTATGTTCCTCTGGTTTGATCAAGCCCATGAAAACACTTTAAAGAAATTCTGTGCATTGTGGTACACCTATAATTTTAGCACTCGGGAGGCTGAAGCAGGAGTATTAAAGTTAAAGCTAGTCATAGATACATTTTAAAACGCCAAACATCTATGGAAGAAAGTGAAATCCTCTTGTAGTGGGGGAGTTTCTTTTTGGTACTGAGGATGGGAACCAGGGTCTTATACTCACACCTATCTGTATCACCCGATTCTGTGCTAACCCCTCTGTACAGTTCGCGCGCCACTGTACCGTATGGGAGCTGGGCAAAGGCCTGTAGATTGAAAGGAACACACAAGAAACCTGGGTCGCTCGAAAGGAGATCAGCCGGAAGGCCGTTTATTCAACTTTGGGGAAAAGCTATTATACCTGGCTGCATGCATAAGGATATCCTCCCGGGCAGGTGGGAAATTACCATACCAAAGATGAAACAATGCCCTTCAGCTAATCACCAGGCTAGGGCAGAGGGAGCATAGGAACAAGCAGGATGCTTTAGCTGGCTGGCCAGAAACTGTCCTCAAGATGCACCCCAAGGAGCAAGGGTAGACCGATCCCTACACCTATCCTGAGGTGAGAAGAGTTGGCAAGCGTTGCATCATGGTTGCAGCTGTGTCCTTGGGATTTTCTGGGAACTGGTGGGCTCTGCATGCTGAGTATACACTCTGCAGCTGCCTTCCTGCATGCTTTTTGCTAGACTCCGAGCCTCTGTGGCTCAAGGGTGCTCTCCTACATATTTCGGTCACCGTAGTTTGGGTCCTCAGCTCAATTATGCCTCCATGTCTGGCTCTCATCTCATACCCAGGCTGTAAGCTGCAGTCAGTGCTTTGGGATTCTTGCACCATTTACTAAGTTTTTACATAATGCTCTTTTAAAACATCTCACTGGGGCTGGAGAGATGGCTCAGCAGTTGAGAGCACTGACTGCTCTCCCAGAGGTCTGAGTTCAATTCCCAGCAACTACATGGTTGCTCACAACTACCTATGATGAGATCTGGTGCCCTCTTCTGGCCTTCAGGCAGGATACTGTATAGATAAGTAAATAAATCTTAAAAAAGAAAAAAAAGATCTCATTGCTAGGGATTGATCCTCAGACTCTGCTACAAAAATACCCTTCCACTGACTCACACTGCTAGCTTCTCCATATGCAGGTTTTAAATTTACGTACATTTGCTGGGCAGTGATGGTACAGGCCTTTAATCCCAGCACTCAGGAGGCAGAGGCAGGCAGATCTCTGTGTGTCAAGCCCAGCCTGGTCTACAAAAGCTAGTTCCCAAAGCAACACAGAGAAACCTTGTCTCAGGGGGAAAAAAATGACATTTATGGAGACCAAAGTTCAGTTTAGCACTTTCTGCCCGTAAGCACTTATCTTCATTATTCAGGAAACCTTCAGATTCCTGCTTTTGGGTTTGTATAACACTATGTGATTCATAACCATAATCAGGCTGGAGGTAGCTGTGTCGACATAGTACTTGCTCCTTTATCAGAAGACAAGTTCTGCTGACAGCACCCACATCAGGTGGCTCACAACTGCCTGTAATGCCAGCTCCAGGGATCTAACAGTCTGCTTTTTTTGTGCCCTTGGACTCACATAAATCATAATAAAAAAAAAACCATTAAGTTACTCACAAAACTAAGTATTTGTGAGGCTAAAACAGGACTATCATGAATTCAGGATTAACCTAGGGGGAGTGGAGAAATGGCTCAGCGGTTAAAGGCACTGGCTGCTTTTCCAAAGGACCCGGGTTCAATTCTAGCACCCACATGGCAACTCACAACTGTCTGTAACTCCAATTCCAGGGGATCTGGCATTCTCACACATACACATGCAGGCAAAACTCCAATGTACATAATAAATCTTAAAAAAAAAGATTAACCTTGGTTATGCAGTGACTTCCAGACCAGCCTGAGTTTAGATCACCTGTGCTGTGATTGATTGTCCTAGGAGCCGCACAGTTGCCATTATGGGGAGTTCAGCTGAGCCCAGTGCCAAAGAATCCCAGTTGGGCTTGTTGACAGTTTGCCTTCAGCCCCAGCGTGGAATGGGTGGTAAGATAAAGAGCCCTTTCCCTAGTGTGCAACTCCACAGGGGGGCATCAGAATAGTTAGATCTAAGACTAGAGGAGGCTTTTTATTCCTGCTGGATAAAGACCTTCCAGACACAACTAGTTGGGTGGGGACACTCACATTTTGTAGGTAATCTTTCACCTAATGCTGTAAGGAATCCCCCAAGTCTCATTCACTCCCCCGAGTGAACTTTATGGAATCATGCTTAGGGTTGTCACTAGGACCTTGGATGTCCTGGTTGATTTTCTATACAGACTTAGAATTGACACAAGTTTGAGTCATCTGGGAAGAGGAACCTCTGTTGAGAAAATCCCTCCCTCCGTCAGATGACCTGTAGGCAAGCCTATAGGGCATTTTCTTGATTAATGATTGATGTAGGAGGGCCCAGGTATCAGGCAGTACCATCCCTAGACAGGAGGTCCTGGGTGCTATGAGGTTCCCACAGTCTCAAGTTTGTACCCTGACTTCATGTTGAACAACTATAAACAAACTCCTCTCCAATTTCAAATTAGCAGACCTCTGAACAATGGATCCCAAAGAAATGAGAATTTCTCCAAGAATTTCATGCTGGCAGAAGGAAAAGACACCAGTCAGAAGGGGAACTTGTTCCAGGAGAGATTTCAGAGTTTTAACATCTTGTCAGACCACAGAATGAGACTTAAGTCCAGCTAATGATGGGTTGACCCAAACCATCATTAAGGTGCAGGAATAAGCACCTTAGACACAGCAAGGAATTGAGTGGGAGGACCAGGGATGAGAAATAGAAAAGAAAGAAAAGAGAAATAATACTAGCTGGAACCCCGGGAGTTCTTCCAGAAGCTGATGCCAAGCAATCTATTAAGAAGTACAACATTATATATACTATTTGCAGGGGGGAAAGGCTAAGATCAGCCAAGAAGTAAATCAGGCAGACAATGTTGACCAAAAGAACACAGCTGCCTTAGGATTGCTAACTACAACCCAGGGAGGAGAGTCGGGTCACCAGAAACTCTAAGGCATTGCTTCAGTGTTAGGCTCTGCTAAGTCTGCCCCTGGACAAGGACATAGAACTAACCTGTCTTTTTTCATCAAGGCCTCTTAGAAAGTCCGTGTCTCAGTACCAAATGTAAGCATTGCAGCTAGGATGGAAAGGGATCCTGGCGGTCTGAAGCCAAGGAACACCACAAAGTCACTGTAAGTGCAACAGCTTACAGTCCTGCTCTGGGGAAAGGTTTGCCCAATGTAATAATGCCTCGGCAAGGGAGAGTTTCTTTCCCCAGTGAAGTGAAGTAATTCATTTCAGCGAAAGAAGGTCCTACCCAAACTTAATTCAAGAGATTTATTGGGAAGGAGGAATCCAGGAGTGACTGCCAGGGTGGGAAAAGGCAGCTCCCATCTGAACAGGCACAGGGCTTATATAGGACTTCTTAGAGATTTTAGGGAAAAAATTGGTCAGATTTCAATCCTTCAAACTTTGGCTAGATCTTTGCTCAAGGGGTTGGTTCGTTTCCTGCTTCTGGATTGGTTGGTTTTCTGCTTAGTTGGTCAGGAGGAGATTTGGCTCTGGATTCAAGGCCAAAGTGTGTTTCTTTGACCTTTTTTTGGTTTTGTTTTGTTTTTTGCCTTTTGGCTCTAATTTCAGGGCCAGCCTTATTTCTTTGACTGGCTCTGATTTCAGGGCGGGCCAAGGTGGTTTATTTATTTATTTATTTATTTATTTATTTATTTATTTATTTTTGTCAGGCTCTATTACCCTACATATGTAATTATATTTAATTCTGGGAATGCAGGCTGAGGGAGACAACATAGCAGGATCAAAACCCTGTCTTAGCCAGAATTTAACTTTACTTGTATTATTTACAGCCCCATCTGAGAATATGTTAGGGCGATAGCCTTGGCTTGGAGTTACACAGGGATTAAATTTAGACCCGTCGTTTAAAGATAAGTGGCGTCGTCTGCAGCCAAGTCAGGATCCTAGCTTTTCTGCCTAGGACGGTGAAGGGCGATAAGGAAACACAGAAGTGGGATTTCTGGTCCAAACGCCAGGGCGGCCCTCTTTCTGCTGCACCTTCTTTTCCGGGGCACCCACCGCGGTGCCTGCTGGGCCGCAATCCACGCGCTCCCGGCGACTTTTGCGCTGTCTGGCAGCTGAAGTAGGTGGATGTTGGTTAATTGAACACACTTTTGAGAATCAACACGGCCCAAGGAGGGAGTCAGGGCTGGGTGACGCAAAGCTCCCGTGTGCTCCGAAAGATGCGGACAGAAAGAGCTCCGACAACGTACCCGCAGATGGACTACATCTCCCGTGATGCCTTGCGGCATCACGGCTTTTCCAACATAGGCTTTTCCAACGCCTCTATACCTCGTCCCGGCAGTCTCCGCGGTGTGCGGGGGCGCGGCGCCCGCGATGGGCGTGGCATGACGCGAGGCGGAGTGGGCGGCAGCCGCCGATGGTGGCGGCGGCCTAGGCGATGCCGCTGCTTGTGGACGGGCGTCGAGTGCGGCTGCCGCGGTCTGCCGCGGAACTGGTACGAGCGCACCCGCTGCTGGAGGTGAGCGGGATTGCTTGGGCCTGCCGGCAGGTGGGATCTCCGCAGCCCGGCCCCCGACGTGCTTTCACAAGGGATCGACTGAGAGGGCCCAGAGAGGTTAGGTGACTTGCCCAAGGTCGCACAGTACGCGGCGCGCGGGGCCTCGTCTACCCTCGGCGGGATCCGCAGGTTGAGGCGCTTGAGCGGCTCCTGGCATTATACAGCCCGGCTGCGGACAAGTGCGGGCGGAGTGCCCAGCCCTCTGCGAGCCCATTCCCGTCCCCTGCGGCTTGGGGCGCCTTGTTATTTTTAGCCAGAAGTAAGGGTTTCGCTTGGAAGTTGCTAGATCGGCGAGGACCGCGCCCTGATGGGTGGGTGAGCTTTTGTCTTCTTTCCTTGCGGGAACTTTTGAAAAAGGATTCCTTGAAGGCAGTGGTGACCAAGTATCCCACATGCTAGTTGTCAGCTCATGGGTCTCACATAGTGCGGTCTAGGAGAAGGCCCAGGAGGGGATCTGTTTCCTAATCAAAGAATTCTTTTAAAGACCAAGTAATTGCCTTGAAAGATGTCCACTTTTACTCTGAGAGGTGAAGCCCAGGATTGTGTGGTTAGGGAAGGCATTCTAGAAGTTTCCTCTGATCAGCTATGGGATCTGTGATCCTGTCTGCTTAATTGCTGTTTTCCCCTGGCTTGCTTTCTGAAGGCAGATGGCAGTGTGCTTACAAAATATTTGTTGGGTAAATGAATGGGCAGAATGACCCCTGAGAACTATGGGGCAAGGAGACTGTGACTGTTAGCTTGAATTTCAGGACAGCCATCCTGCAAATCGGGCTAGGCACTGTGCCCTTTTCCTTACTGTGGCACTGCCACTGGGTCGGTGAAGCCAGGAGTAAAACTCATCAAAGAAAAGTTTAATCCACCTCAAGGATTTAGGGGACTCTCTCCCATGTCTGCTTGAAGCATCTAGTTTTAGTGGCCACAACAGCACATGAGAATGCAGAGATGAGGTGACGTGGAAACCTCTGGAGGCAGGATTTTGATCTGTCTAAAGAGACAGCCCAGAAGGGGTGGCAGGGAGGCCCCTGTGAGGAGAAGGCTGGAGTGTGAACTGCATCCCCAGTGGTTCACTTTCTTAGGATAGTGTGTGCTCTGGAGAGGGAAGTAGAAAATTGTGTCCTTAGTCACAGCCATTCTTCTCATGGTTTGGTGACTTCCTTACAAGTGTTTTTTGTTGTTTTGGGGACAGGGGCTCTTTATTTACCTCTGACTGTCCTGGAACTTGATATGTAGACCAGGCTGGCCACAAACTCACTGGTTTGCTTGCTTTTTTTTTTTTTTTTTTTTTTTCTGTGATACACTGTTAAAAAAGGTTTGAGACAGGGTCTTGTGTAGGCTGGAACTGTGTAGGCCTGTCTCCACTGTCTTCAGCTCTCAGACTTCTTTCTTCTGCCTCCTAAATGCTGGAATTAAAGGTGTGCACAACCACGCCTGATTGTATTTATCTGTGTGCACATAGGTGTGGGTGCCTGTGCGCACTGGACCAGAAGGTGGCATCAGGTGTGTTCCTCTTCGCTCAGTGCAGTTTCTTTGAGGCGGGGTCTCCCTGAATGTGTTGTCATTGATTCTCTCATCTCCACCCATCACAGGCATGTGTGGGATCCTGACTTGTGAGTGCTGGCACCTAAACTTTGGTAGATTTTTCAGCAAACAGTTTTAACTACTGACCATCTCTGTAGCACTCTCCCCTTCCCCCCCCCTTTTTTTTAAAGAGAGAAAGACGGGCAGGCTGGCCTTGAAGTTGATCTGGGTCCAGTGCTGACCTTGAATGCCTGAGACCTGCTTCAGCTCTACTGTGGTAACTCAAGGTGTCATCCAATGTGCCCATCATAACACACTTTTTGATTGACAGCATGCTATATATTGTTATTTTTTTTGTTTTTGTTTTTGTTATTTCTTGGTTTTTGAGATAGGGTTTCTCTGTGTGGCCCTGACTGTCCTGGAACTCGTTCTCTATACCAGGCTGGTCTTGAACTCACAGAGCTCCGTCGTGCCTGGTTCCTGTGTGTTTCATGTCAGCATTTTGTGAACACACAGCACCAGCTGTAGAACCCTGATTAGCATCCCACCACACCTTTCTACAGCCTGTGCTTCCTTAGGCAACCAGTCTGAACACTAACTGATGCTGTCATGTCCCCCCTCCCCACTTTCTATTTTGAAAGAAAGCCTCACTATAGCTCATGCTCATCACCAACTCATGATTGTTGCGACCTTCCAGGCTGGCATTACAGGCGTGTGCCACCGTGCCGACTAAAGAATTGTGAGACACATGCCATCAGAGATGCTACCAGGGCAATCCCATACTGCTACTGCTGACCTCCTTCTCCACATTTACTCACCAACACATCTGGGTTCAGTGCTGTCTGGTTTCAGGCCCCCGATGGCCAGCCACAGTGGAACTGGTCCCACACTGTTCCCGATAAGATGAGTACCTTTGCTTTTATTTTCTAGATTGAGGGCTGCAAAGATCAGGCACAGTGTGATGGTTTGATGAGAATGGCCCCCACAGGCTCATATGTTTGATGCTTGCCCTCTAGTTAGTAGAACTATTTGGGAAGGATTAGACATGTCCTTATTGGAGGAGGTTTGTTACTGGGGGTGAGCTTTGATGTTTCAAAAGCCTGGGCCAGACCCAGTGTCTCTCTCTCTGCCTGATCAGGATGTAAAGCTCCCATCTGCTGCTCCAGCACCATGCCTGTTGGCGTCCTGATATAAACCACCCATCTAAAACTGTAAGCAAGGCCTCAATTAAAGGCTTTTTTCTCTTTCTTTTTTTAAATAATAGTTGCACTGGCATGGTGTCTTTCCACAGCACCAGAACAGTGACCAAGACTGACTGTCGCAGGTCCCATGCTTAGACAGAAGTCAGGACTGGGGCCCTGCTTTCTTGCCCTCACTTTGGATGTTGTGTAATTCAGTACAGCGGCCTCTTGCAACAAGGGGCACCCCTGTAGGTGCTAGTGCTCAGGAGGCCGAGGCAGGACAGTGTTTCAGGGCAGACAACAGTGAGGAGTCTTGAGTGCAGTGCAGTGCTCCTTAGTGTCTGCTGTTGTCATGCGGGTGAAGCCCAGGGCTTCACACATGCTAGACGTGCCTGCTTCTGGGATACCCCTAGCCCTGGGGTCTTTAGGTGGTTGGAATAATATTTTGTAACAGCAGATTACATGAATTCAGACTTGCATGTCTCCTATCATTTTATTGGAGGAGCCATATCTGTGTGTACCTCTGGCTGTTCTCACTACACAGTGGCAGAGACCTGTGGGCTTGTCATCTAGTCATTCTGAGAGAAAAGTTTGTTGACCTCCAGCAAAGAAAGTAGTGCCATTTGCTAGGCCTTGGGAAAGTTTGTTAAGGAACTGAGTGCACATGAGTTAAATACCAAAAAATATGAGACACTGAGACAACTGGGCCACTGTTACTTTAGGAAGTGTAGAATGGGCAGCTTGGCTCAGTGGATGGCGTGTCTGCTGGGGAAGCACAAGGACCTGAACATGGACCCCAGGACCTAAGGTTTAGGGTGCTTATGTAAACCCAGTGCTGAGGGGTGGCCAGCCAGTCTAGGTAAAATGGTGAGTTCAGGTTCAGTGAGAAACTCTGTCTCAGAACATTAAGGTGGGCCGTTGAGATGGCTCATATGGTAAAGGTGCTTGCTGCTAAGCCGATGACCCGAGTCCAATCTCTGGAATCTACACAGTGGAGGAGAAAGCTAACTACCAAGGGTTGCGAGCGCCCACTGCATATACACACATATGAAATAAAACGAAATTAAAGACAGGGTTCAGAGTAACAGGAAGGCACATGACAGACCTGTGGCTTCAGATGCCCTCACACGTACGCCTCTCACACTTCATCCTCATGGTACTACACAACATCTGCATCTCTTGTTCTCTCATGCACACAAGTGTGATGAAGTGGGAGGAGAGAGCGGCTGCACTGTCCTGTGGCGTCGTGTCTCTGCTCGGCCGCCTTTGCTTTCGTTTCTTATTTTCTGTCTTTGAGACACTAGCCAGAGCTGGCTTATGCCTCCAGTGTTGGGACTGTAAGCATGAACTCCTGCCTCTGATTTTCTTACACTTTTTAATAACATATTTACACTGGTATTTTGCCTGCAGGTATGCCGGGCATCAAGTACATGCAACATAGCTAAAGACGCCTTGCCTAGCCACGCCCCCACGGGACTGGGGCGTGTGTCAGATCCCCTGAACAGGAGTTACGGACAGTTGTGAGCTGCCATGTGGGTGCTGGGAATTGAATCAGGGTTCTCGAAGACCAGTCAATGTTCTTGTCCCCTGAGCCATCTCTCCAGCTCCGACTTTGTTACAGTCTAAAGTGGTAGATGCACACATGAGGTAGGAGGGGACAGTTTAAGGGCAGCCTGAACTACTGTCTCAAAGGTCAAGTCTCAGATTCTTGAAGAACCATGGTAAAGGATTGGGTGTCTCTCCCAGGCACTGGATCTTATGTCATATGCGGCTCCTATTCAGAGGGAATGTTCCTGCTGCCTTTCTCCACCAGTCTTTGGTAGCCAGTGCAGCACAGTTCAGAGATGCCAGCCTGCTTCCCACTTCTGAGTAAACGTTGGCTCTTTCCATCTCTCCTGTCCAAGCCTCACTAATTCACACAATTATTTTATTCTGTTTCAATTAAACAGGAAAGAGCCAGACTTCTCAGAGGTCAGTCTGTTCAACAAGTGGGACCCCAGGGCCTTCTGTATGTTCAGCAAAGAGAGCTTGCAGTGACCTCCCCAAAGGATGGTAGGTTAGGAAGCAGTGTGTTGGGCCTTATTCCAAAGTCTACTGGCTATTTTATGTTATTTCTTTTTGGAACAGGCTCCATCTCCATTCTGGGTTCGGATGATGCCACTACTTGTCACATTGTGATCCTGAGGCATACAGGTATGATGACAGAGATGAAGGAAACCCTTCCTTAAACTATTCCAACCATGTGGGACCACTGATTTTTTTCAGTTTGAGTTTCCTGGTGTAGAATTTGAAGTCATGCAGTTACATGGCTAGGGCAGACAGACTGAGGGGCCAGTGGCGGTAGCACCAGGATTTGTCCCTACTGCTCGTACCGGCTTTTTGGGGACCTATTCTCTTTGGATAGATACCTTGCTCAGCCTAGATATAGTAGGGAAGGTCTCGGACCTTCCCCAAAGCAATGTGCCTTACCCTCTCTGAGGAATGGATGGGGGTAAGTGGAGGGAATGGGAGGAGGGGAGTGGGAACTTGGATTGGTATTGTATAATGAAAAAAAGATAGTTTTATAATGAAAAAAGTTTTATAATGAAAACAAGAGATAGTTTTATAATGAAAAAAGATAGTTGGTTTTCTTTTTTCTTTTCTTTTTTTTCTTTTTTTTTGCCCTGAGACAGGGTTTTTCTGTAGCTTTGGAGCCTGTCCTGAAATTAGCTCTTGTAGACCAGGCTGACCTCAGACTCACAGAGATCCACCTGCTTCTGCCTCTCAAGTGCTGGGATTAAAAGTGTGCACCACCACCGCCCAGCTGTTTTCTTTTTTAAAAAAGAAAAAAAAACAAAAAGAATTTGAAGTCATGTCTTTCTTGTCTGCATGTGTCTCCCTGGTGCCCTGGTCAGATGGGTTGGCTGGACCCTTTCTGTTTTCTTATAGGGTGTCTAAAGATGAGGTGGTCTGCATGGCCTGCTTCCCGGAATATAAGGACTGACTCACTTTCCTTGTTCTTCAGGTAATGGGGCGACCTGCCTCACACATTGTGATGGAACCGACACCAAAGCCGAAGTCCCCTTAATAATGAGCTCCATAAAATCCTTTTCTGAGCATGCTCAGTGTGGAAGGTAAGTGCCATAGTGCTGTTCTGTGGACACTGCGCAGGTATCCTGTGCTTGTACACCTTGAGCATGGTGATGTCCACACTAGGCTGGATGGAATAATGGAGGGACAAGCCAGTACTGGACGTTTTGTTGAACAGGGCTCACTGTTATGATCCTCTTGCCTCAGACTCCCTAGTGCTCAGATTAGTGGATGAGACATGTCAGGCTTCTGTGTTGAATTTTAAATGAAGTTTGACTTTGAACTTGTGTAAAGTTGGGATCTTCGAATCTTAGATATTAATTTGTTATGGCCCAGACAGAAGGTGTTTTTGTGAGCAGCCACTTGTTGTACGGTCTGAAGCAGGGAAGTAGTAAATATGTAGGAAAGACTGAAGGAGGAGGCAGGGTTGGCAGTGACCATGCCACACACCTCAGCAGGTCAAGAGTTTGAGCATGGGTGTAGGGTAAGAACCAGCCCAGGCTGGCTGCACCTCAGCATTTCATTGTTACCCCGTCCGTGACACGTGGTCATGTACCAGAGCCACAAAGCTAGTTAACTTCTGGCCTTTGACCCAGGCCTGGCTGTCACTTGCTCTGTTCTTATTACACTGGCTCTGATTTTCTTGGCAGCCTTTGAAGGAACTAGTACAGTCACATACAGGTGCTTAGAATCTCAGGGACACTTACTAGTTAGCTTTATTTGTTCAATAGGTAAGTTTTAAAAAGTGAGGGGTGAGATATGTACACACCTTTAATTCTAGTAGTGGGAGGTAGAGGGAGACGGAGAAGGATCTCTTAGTTTGGTCTACATGGTGAATTCCAGGCCAACCTTTTCTCGAAAATTAAACCAGATTTAAACTTTGTGTGTTGCACGAGTGTACACTAGGAATTGAACCCTGGACCTTGCTTATGCTAAGAGTGTGCATTAGCACTGAGCCCTTGTTGTAAAACGTAACTTTACTGGCTGGGTCTGTGTCACAGGCTGGCTGGCTCCATAGGCTTTGACTCATGTAGCTGTGAAATCGCCTTTTCCTGTTGTTGTAGCCCAGACTACTCACACAGTCCTCAGAACACAGTGTTTAGTTATTCCTGGTCTGTGTCCAGACCACAGTTCGCTCTGTGGAAATCAGGGCAGGCCTCGTCAGATACCACACCCTTCACAGGCTAGTTCAGAGGTGTGAAGTACACCACATACTCCCATGGTTATTCGAGTTGAGGAAGACAAGCAAGGGAAACACGGAGTGAAGCCAAGTTTGAGCTGTCACAGCCCTGCTGTGTGCGTGTGCACTATGGCTGTTGTCGGGAGGGGCTTCAGCATGGGAAACGTCCCAGATGGATCCTGTGTGTACGGTAGAAGATACCATGCTGTGATTCCTAGGTGTGGTGGGATGAGAGCACCCCAAGCTCTCAATTAGTGGGGTTTCTGCCCCTTTCCAGCCTCAAAGCCCAGATCCTTTTAGGTGCAGGTGTTGAGAAGTTCTAGAGTGTTCTGTGTGAGTGGCCAGGTGACACTGCACTGATAACCCTGGGAGGGGTCCTCAGAGCCTTGCTGCTGGCCTTGGAAGCCTCATTTGCACCCCATTGTGCCCACAGGTATTTTATTATATGCTATGGACATTCATGGGAGCCTGAAGCCCGCATACAGTCATGTCACGTCTAACTCTGATCTCTTCCCTCTCCTGGCAGGCTGGAAGTGCACCTTGTGGGAGGCTTCAGTGACGATCGGCAGCTGTCACAGAAACTTACCCATCAGCTTCTTAGTAAGTTTGCCACCCTCTCCTAGTTTTGTCTGGCTTGAAAATTTTAAAAAAGGTGCCAGGTGGTGGTAGGACACACCTTTAATCCCAGCACTTGGGAGGCAGAGGCAAACAGATCTCTGTGAGTTTGAAGCCAGCCTGGTCTACAGAACAAGTTATAGAACAGCCAAAGCTACACAGAGAAACTCTGCCTCAAAATAAATAAATAAATACATAAATACGTGGAACGTAAAAAAGCTCTCTAGCAATCAGATGAAGCAGAGGCAGGAAGAGCATGAGTCTGAGACCAGCCTGGGATACACAGTGAAAATCTGTCTACACTAAAGACACAGCCATGTGGATGGACTGTATAGACCATACAGAGTGTAGCATGGATCTCAGTTCCCAGGTGCTGGTGGGATAGGGACAAGATCTCCGCCCATTTTTTCCTTCTTTTCTTTTTTGGTTTTTGAGACAGGGTTTCTCTGTGTAGCTTTTGAAGCCTGTCCTGGAACTCACTATGTACACAAGGCTGGCCTTGAACTTTCAAAGATCCACCTGCCTCTGCCTCCCAAGTGCAGGGGCTAAAGACATGAGCAACCACTGCTTGTCCAAACTCCCCCCATTTTGACAGGGTGATGCTGTTGAAGCCCAGTCTGGCTGTGGCCTCGTGATCATTATGCCTCAGCCGAGTGAGAGAACTACAAATGTGTCAAAGATGCTCTTTTAAAACAGCAGTTGGTGAATGCTTGGAGTACACACCCTGAGCTGTACAGCTGTACAGAAGTATTCTTTGTAATCTTCAGAAAATGAAAATACCACTGCTAATCTTTTCTACTAAATAAGAAGAGACAGACGTGGTATATATTGTGAAATAGGTATATGCTAATGCTAGATCTGCACTGGAGCAGCCTGTCAGCAAGGAAACTGCATTGTGGCTTAAGCCCTTTAAAGGTCCACATCCTTTGACTTAGTAACTACCTGTCTTAGAATCCATTGTAAGAAAGTCATCTAAGGTTGCAGAAAGGCTGACGATATGGCTCACTGGGTAAAGGCTCTTCCCACCATGCATGATCAGAGTTTGGTGTTTGGGACCCACATGATGGAAGGAGAAATCTAATTCTTGTATGATGTCCTCTGATCTTCCCATGTGATTCATGGCAAGGCATGCATGCGTACACACAAGTATGTAAAAAAACAAAACAAAACAAACCCTTGCACAGAGATTTTGATTTAAAGATCAGTATTCCAGCAGTTCTGACATCAAGGAATAATACCCAGTGTCCTGAGAAGAGTTAGAAAGTTTCTAGAAGTTGTTACCTACTGAACCAGGTCTGGAGGTTCATGCTTACAGCTCAACATTCGGGAGAAGACTGAGGCAAAGGGTTGTTTGCTCTTAATCAGCCTGTTAACTCCATGGGGAAAGCCTATACCTAATAAAAGCAACTGGGGCATGAAATTATATGGTGTGACGAGCATCGTTGTCTGTTACGAGCTTAGCTGTGCACTAATCTACGGTGGGGGGATGGGCATTCAGAATCTACTCTCTTCTGTTCCCTTGTCTAAAAGCATTCACAAAGTTTTTGCTCTGTTGGCTGGAGAGATGGCTCAGTGGGTAAAGGCACTGTCTGTTTTTCCAGAGGACCCAGGTTCAGTTCCCAGCAACCGCTTGGTGGCTCACAACTGTCTGTAATACCAGTTCCAGGGGATCCTGTAACCACCATTCATATGGCACACATACAAGTAGGAAAAACATTTATACACACAAATATTCCTTTTGTTCTAATAGACTCAAGAGGAGTTGGTCTTCTCTTAGGACCCCACCTGATGTGGGTGCTGGGACCTGAACCCAAGTCTTCTGCAAGAGCAGAGTAAATGTTTTAAACCACTGAGTCATCTCTCAGCCACCGTGAGGCTTTTCACATTAGCCTATACTAATCACACATAGCAACGGTTTAATTATGTGTATGTGGGCACTCAGGGCACAGGTGTGCCATATAGTGTGAGTCAGAGTAACTCATAGGAATGGGCTTTCTCTCCTTCTACATGTGGGTCCCAGGGATTGAACTCAGGTTACAAGTGCCTCTACAGATTGAGCATTCTTGCTGATCTAATCTCTATCTTCAGTTCCCCACCTCCACCACCACCTTGTTTTTGAGACAGGATCTCATGTAGCACAGACTAGCCTTGAACTTGAACGTGCCACCATGCCAGTTTGAACCCATAGCCTCGAGTGTGCTAGAGGATGCTAGGCAATTACAGTGTCAGTGGAGCTACAGCCCCACCTAACAGGACATTTCCATGTATGTATGTAATGTATTTTGATCATATTCACATCCGTTACTCATTTTTTGGCACTTTTTTTACATTAATTTTGAAATTCTAATTGTAGGTGAATTTGACAAACAAGATGATGACATTCACTTAGTGACATTATGTGTGACAGGTGAGTTCTGCTGCTTTCACCCATATGGGTATAAGGGTTCCGGAAGGTTTTGTCTGTACCCTTACTACAGCTCCCATCAGGGTAGAACTGTAGAAGACACTCTAAAGAGACTGTCCCCTCTGGATGACTTGTTCCCACCACTCCTATCACTTTTCAACACCCGGTCCCCCCAGCTAATGGCTCTGATGTCTGCTTTCTAGGCTGTCAGAGGTTTCTCTGTGTTCCTGGGAAGGGAGCGTGCTGGTGAGCTGCCCTCGTGTGGCCCACGTGGGGCTCTGCACTGAGGACAAGGACAACTGTTTAGTGTTCTCACTTTCCTTCATTTTTTAGAGTTAAATGACCGGGAAGAAAACGAAAACCACTTTCCCATCATTTATGGCATCGGTAAGTAGTGTTTGTGTTAGAGGGCTACATGGTTTCCACGTGGGTTAAAGGTCTGAGTGCAGTCATTCCATCTGCACCATTGCTGGTGGGATGGGTCCTTGCTCCTATCTGTTCTTACTGTGACAAGTTAGGCAAGGGGCCTGACTTGACCAACCCTTAGCTGTAAGGGTGTTAATGTGTGGAGAAACTGTGCAGAATAGGTTATGACCACCCCACACTCACTCCTGCAGCCTAGTGTCACATGGGGGGGGTAGTCAGGCACGCTTTTCTCTAGCAAGAGCTCACGGTGGGGAAAATGGGGTATTTGGATCTTTGTATGGGAATGACGTAAGGTTTTGATTCAGAATGAAGACTGTTGAACCAGTTCTGAAGCTGACAAATTGCAGAGGGATTCTGGTGTGCCCATGGTGTTTAGCTGAGTGGGTGGGGAGGGCACAGGAACTTCTTTATTCTGTCACTTTGCATAAAAACTCTAAAATAAGATGAAAGTCCTCCAGCCTTACACCTGAGTCTCTGGGGCTGGTCTTCCTGTGTTGCTACAGAGGCTGTCAGCACCTCAGTCTTTTTCTTCAGATCCCATTCTTCTCTGTTTCTGGTTCTTATGTACAGTGGTAGAAATGTGAAGTCTGTTGCCAGTTTAGAGTCACTGCCTCTCTCCTGCAGCTGTCAACATTAAAACTGCAGAGATTTACAGAGCTTCCTTTCAAGATCGTGGCCCAGAGGAGCAGCTTCGTGCTGCAAGAGCTTTAGCAGGAGGCCCGGTGAGTGGGAGCCCATCTTTGTGGGATGGGGAAAGAGGGAGCACCAAGAGACTCAAGTTTTTAGAATGTTGGAAAGTTGTGGCTATCTCCTTACCAGGATTCAGTATTCAGTCCACTTCCTCATGGGTTAGAGGAATAAGGATCGAGTTTAGGTTTTAAGTGCCAGATACTAGATCTTTGCCTGAAAGATGGAGGTGGTAGTAAGAGCTTGAATCTACAGACAAAGCAAGACCTCTTCCCATTAACCTTCCCATAGAGAGGACTGCAGGCGGCTAGGGGCGGGGGGATTGACAGAATCAAGTCTCATCCACACTTTGGACCTAGTCATCAGAGAGTAGTCTGGCAAGTCACTCCACAAACTGAGTTCCAGGAGAGCCAGGTCTACATGGAGAAACCTTTTCTCGGACCCCCTACCCAGCCCCAATGTTTAATTTCCTCAGTGTACTGTATTTTTCCTTATTTTTGATAGTGCCGAGGATGGAATAGAGACGTATGCAGCGGACATGCTGTGCTGCTGAGCACTCCTAGCCTAGGCCCTTTTTATAGCCTCAACATTTCCCAGGGCTGGGATTGCACAAGTATATAATTTTGTCCAGGTCTCTAGTATATTTTTAATTAATTAAATCATTAATTTCTTTCTTGTTTGTTGTTTTTTGAGACAGGGTTTCTCTGTGTTGCTTTGGAGCCTGTTCTGGAACTAGCTCAGTAGACCAGGTTGGCCTCAAACTCAGAGAGATCCGCCTGCCTCTGCCTCCTGAGTGCTGGGATTAAAGGCGCGCACCACCACTGCCCAGATTAAATCATTAAAGGACTTATTCATCCATTTGAGGAACAGGTAGAAGAATGTAAAATTCCCAGTGTGAGCCTGTTTTAATCCAAACACTCGGAGACAGGAGACAGGTTTATTACTGTAAGGTACTTATATAGCTCTTATGTAGCTTTTTAAAAAGATGCCAAACAGGATCTGGGGAGATGGCTCAGTAGCCAAAGTGCACAGCACCAACATAAGCTGGGTGTGCTTCCAGGCCTAGTGCTGGGGAGACAGAAGACTGATTGTTAGGGTTTGCAGAGTCTGCAGCTTCAGTTCTAGTGGAAGACCTTGTCTTAGTTGGCAGAAGCAACGGAAGACCTCTGGCCTCACATATGTGCCAGCACCCCACACTGCCGCAAGCCCAGAGATTTGCTTGTTTGTGCAATACTAACACTTCAGTAAGATGTGTGGAATTAAGAGATCTGTTTCTGCCAGTCTTTTACCATTTTCTGGAGTCCTAATTTTGTTTGATATGGTCTTGCTATGTATGTAGCCTAGGGTATCTTGGAACTTGTGGCAAGTCTCCTGCATCAACCTCCATCAACTACTATGACCAGCTTGGTGGTTTTTCTTTTCTAAGACAGAGAGTTCCATTGCAGCCCAAGCTGGGCTGGAACTTACTGTAGGATTCCTTTTGGTATTTAGTACCCTCTCAAAGCTGAAAATTACCGCTGGCATAATTTGGAAATTCAAGGAATGAGTCTGTTGGTAAATCAGTTTCTACAGAGCCAGTTGTGGTGGTGCACACGTCTCCGTTACCCCACATTGTGAGGTGCAGTAACAAGATGAGGAGTTCAAGCATTCTTGGCTATGTATTGAGTTCAAGGCCAGCCCGGGCTACATGAGACCCTCTCAAAAACAAAACAGGGTGAGGTTTTAAGGCAGGCAGACCTCTGAGTTTGAGGCCAGCAGGGTCTACCAAACCAGATCCTGTCTCAGAAAACAAATAACAAAAAAATGAAACCAAAAAACCCCAAACCTTTCTTTTATGCTTTTTGTGAGATAAGGTCACACTATCATCCAGGCTGATCTTCCTGCCTCAGCCTCCTGAGTGCTGAATGTCAGGTGGGAGCTGTCATACCTGGGCACTTGTGAGCTTGTTTATGTTGCATGACTAGCTGCTTGGGGTAGGAGTAAGGAGGTGTGGTATTTGTGTAGTCGTGAGGAGTACAGGCATCTGTCAGACCTGCCTGTCTTTGAGGCACTGCTGATGCTCACTGGACATGTGACCTGGGACCTTTCTCCACCATCCTCTTCCTCTTAGACGGGCAGCATGCTGTCTTGTAGGCTTACTGTCAAAACATGGGACCAAACACAAGGAAGGCATTTGGTGGTGGCAGCTTTGTTATTACGGGAGGTCAACATTTGCAGTTTATCAGCTAAGGGGACAGACTTGGAACTAGACTATAGCAGTGGTAGGGCAGTGTCCTTACAGCCTGTCATGGAAATGGTTCTTTTAGATGATTAGCATTTATGATGCAAAGACAGAACAACTTCGAATAGGCCCGTATTCCTGGACGCCATTTCCACATGTGGATTTCTGGTTGCAGCAAGATGACAAGCAAATACTAGAGGTGAGAACTTACAGGTTGGCTAAATCCTAAATCTCTGGACCCTGGTTTCCTCATCTGTAAGAAAAAAAAAAAGTTTTAGACCAGCTAACAGCTGCTTCTCCTTCAGTGGGTGAGATTGGCATTCTTTTGCCATTGACAGACTATGTTTATGTTTATGGCAGTGGGGGATTAGTACCGTCCTGGCAGATGTTTGTACAGGTGATGTAGTAAGCAATAAAACGTGTGTAACTCAACAGAAGCGCTGACACTGAGACCAGCCTGGTGGATGTGTGTTCAGTCCAAAGCTACTCTGACAATTGTCATCCAGCGGGGGAGGCGTGTAGCCTGGCCCCTCTCATGCCCACTGTCTTGTCTTTTCAGAACCTTTCTACTTCTCCTCTGGCCGAGCCCCCCCACTTTGTTGAACATATTAGATCTACCTTGATGTTTTTAAAAAAATTCCCATCTCCAGCAAATATACTGTTTCCTGGAAATAAAGCTCTCCTCTACAAAAAAAATGAAGATGGTTTATGGGAAAAGATCTCCTCTCCAGGGAGCTAACATCCAAGTTACCAAAGAACACAACTTTTTGGCTCAGCAGAGATGATTGGTGGTTTGGAATCTACGCCTGTGCAGTTTTACTTCTTCCTTGCTTACTGTCTTTCAAAATAAAATCTTATTTTGGCAAAGGCATTTGTTTTATATGATTTTTTGCTTCACTACAAAGTGAGGAACAGAGGAGAAACCGTTGGCCTTGCAATTGAGAGACAGGTTGGTCACGAAAAACCCAATCAGTGCGTGGTGGCAGGTGCCTTTAAATCTTGAGTTCAAGGCCATCCTGTTTCACAGAATGAGTTCCAGGACAGCGAAAACTACCAAAGAAACCCAGTCTTGTTAAAAAAAAAAAAAAAAAAAAGAAGAAGAAAAGGGAAAAGGAACTTCCTAGCAAAACTGATCAGCTTGCTCTAGGCAAGATGAAAGGCCCAGAAACAAAATGGCTGCTGGGCTCATTTACCTTCTTGAGTGTGATTCTGAGACAAGCTCGTGGGGTGCCACATTCCATCTAAGTCCCACAAAGAGAAACTTTTTACATACGATGCTACTAAGATGCCCAATTAGGGTTATGGAAGTTACTTTTTAGGAACTGTTCTGTTACCTGATGAAAAGTAATGTTTACACTGAGCTCAAGTAGTAATCTCAAGAGCCTTTATTTAAGCCAGCATCAGATAGTGTCTCAAGGTAAAATTCTGTTGCAGCAAAACCAGGTAACAATTTCCAAATGTATAAAAACATTTAAAAATCAATCTGTTAACGGTGATAATTTACCCCTCCCCCATGTCACCTGCTATACTTCATTGCATCAAATAAACAGGGAAGACTATATTTAATCATTTGCACCCAAAAAAATGGAAAGATTGCATTTTGATAAGTGGTAACTGTCAAAAATCACATCAAATCAGTGTAATTATAGGCTTAATGTGGTATAACTAAGGCTTCCAACACTACAGTCCACTGGCCTACCATCTTAGCATCTTCCATTGTTTGACTTTCAGGGACTAAAAAGGCACAGGGTGGGGCATCTTAGGGTACTTCTGGTGATGCAGTACTTGGGAAATAGAAATGGATGAGAATTAGGTGGCAAGTTCTACCAGGTTTGTTAGCCTGGAAGAGGCAACTTCTCTGGTTCTTTCCGGAGCTGGGCCCAGGGTGAGTAGAAGAGAAGCTGCAGCCAGCCATGAAAAGCAGGTCAAAGGCGTGCTTGCTTCAGCCTCTACCGTGCTACACAGCAGACCAGTAGGCTCTTCGTGGTGGTCTCCAGGGGGCTTTCTGTCCTAAACAGACCCAAGCACAGGGCATGCTGGGTGCCAATTTAAAGGCATCACCAGTGTTTAAAATATACTCAAATATATTAAGTAGTGTAGTGTTGGTCAGGAAGAGATTTTACAGTTAGTTACTAGTAACAGATGAGTCCTTAAATTTGTTTACAAAGAATGTATAAAGGAGAAAAGGTGCAGCAGGGACAGTTCTAGTGCCACAGCGCATGTGTACACCATCCCTCATAGGCTTCAGGTCCTACTGAAACCCATTTCCTGATGCCAACCAGTGAGGCAGACGTCTCCCACAACCTACCTGAACTACAGACCTAGTAAGACTGAAGCATGGGGGAGAACATGGAGAGACACTATGCAGCCTAGAGAGAGAACAGTGTTTCAAGTGGAAGGTGCTTGAAATCCACATGTTCTCTCTGTACGTGTTTATGGTATATGAAGAAAGGGTATGCCAAGGTTGGGCAGGCCAAAATAGTCAGTTGTTGATTCTACTTACACATAAAATAATTGCCCCCCCCCATAAAGCCTGGTTTTCCAGCATGTTTCTGTGCAAAACTCCCAGTTTAGCACAAACGACAGAAATTTCTATCATATTAGCATGTGGCACAGTTCACATTTTCAATAAAACTTCATCTTCCCTGAAACAGTCAATACAGGCACAAGCCTAGTATTACTGAGGTTTATCTTAAGCGCTCCAGCCCCTCTTCTTGTGGGTTGTCACCTTCCGGATGCTGGGCCTTGTTCTGCAAGGTCTCAGTCTGTCTGGCCATGGGGTCAGGAGCCGTGGGGACCTGCTCAGGGCAGTGGGCCTCTTCTGGGCTGCTGTGCTCTAGCCCACTGCACAGCTGGTCCACCTTTTCAAGGTCTTCGATGTGGCTGACTGAGCTGGTCTCACTCACAGCATCCGAGCCTCTCAGAGCCCTTTTAAAAGGTTTCTGGCCTAGAGAGACAAGATGAACCACGATGAGACTGGTGGAGACATCCACAGAAAAAGGTGCTGTGGTCCTGCATGTTCATTGATTTGGCAGGAATGCTGGAATTTTGGTTTGCACCTTAGAGGTGAGGCAGGAACTAAAGAACACAGTGACACCAAAGTGCTCCCCAGGCCAGTGCTTCTGCGGTGCCCCTGACAGGAGTGATGCTTGCCTTTAGAGTGCCATGGAGACATTTCTTTGGAGCTAAATCTCAGGTGCCTGAATTGTTTCAGCGAAGGGAATGGAATTTTGGATTACAGAAAGGAACATAAGGAACAACAAATAAGGAGCCTCAGCAGCATGTATGAGTCTATTATTCACGAAATGAAATAGAACTGGTTTCCTTCTGTTAATGAAGGTGAACTGTGGAGCGGTTTAACCCACCTGGAAGTCTCTGTTTGCTTTGAGTGCCTGAAGGTGTCGGAGGCGGTGTCACGCCTGTACCTTGTACTTTGTGGACGTATGTGTATTCTGTGGATTCCAGAGATCCTGTCAGGAAAAGAAAGGAATGGCAGAAGCTCCAGGCACAGCTATCCTGAGATGTCATTTGCCCTCAATTGGCTTTGTGTCTTAACCAGCTGAACCAGCCACTTGGCTTCCCACTGACTGAACTGGAGCAAACCCACCCTGCGGTTGCTCACGTCTCTCCCCAGGCTCTTCAGCTCCTTCAGTGTGTGCAGTGTGCTGGGACCCTCACTTTAGCAATGAGCAGATGCTCCCATTAAAGGCTGAGGTCTGAGAAATAAAATGTTCCTTGTTTGTGATGTTTTGAAATAAAGTCTCAGAAAACCCTAATCCTCCAGCTTTATCCTCCTAATGCTAGGATTACATCCTTCTGCTACCATAACAGGAAACTCTAGTGATACCTTTGCTATCATGAGAATCTAGAGAAGGAACAAAAGAAGGAACATCAAAATTTTGGGAGTATTTCTGTTTTCTTTTTTAAATTGTTTACATATATTTTAAAGATTTTATTTATTTATTATGTATACAGTGTTCTATCTGCATGTGTGCTTGCAGGTCAGAAAAGGGCACCAGATCTCATTATAGATGGTTGTGAGTCACCACATGGGTGCTGGCAAGTAAACTCAGGACTTCTGGAAGAGCAGTCAGTGCTCCTCTGACCACTGAGTCACCTCTCCAGTCCCCGGGAGTATTTCTTTGATAGGATAGGAAAGGATTCACTGCCACTAGTATCTCCCAACAAGTTGGCAACATTGCCAGTCACTGGTTTAAAATAAGTACTGTGTGCCACAACCTTTAGGGTCCCCTCTCAGAAAGAGCCATGTCCTATAAAAAGTACTCAGGAGGACTGCAGGAAACAATAGTCCTGATGCCAGTGTCCATGGTGCACTGTCCCCAGATGTGGGCCGGTTGGATAGGCATGTCCCTTTTCCAAGGAAGAGCAATGTGCATGCTGTGGAGTGGCTGCTTTCTCACTGTTTCGGCAGGGACAGGGGAAGATGACATGGCATGGCAAAGAATCCAGGGAGATATAAAAGTATGAAGGGCACTGGGAGATAAATGTATCTGGTCAGAACTTGGGAATAACAGATCTAGGCATAGACCAGTTGGAAGTCCTACCTGCTGTTAAGTTAAAACTTCTTCCCTTTTGTGAAGCTTGAACTGGAGAAAACCAATTCAGGACGGACCCTACTACAGGGATCTGCCGCAACACTCCCTGCAAAACATAAGCCTTGTTTAGGATAACCTGCTGCTCTGCCAGGATCCCAGCCTGGAAAACTTCAACCCTAACCTTACCTCTTCCAGAAGTCGTTCCTCATTTGCCTTCTGTAGTTGAACCTGAGCCTCCTGAATTCCCTTCCGAACGACTTCTGTCATGTTCTCTAGAAGCTGCAAAACCAAAGAAGATACTGTTTGTCTAAGCTTCTTGCCCAGGGCCTAGAACTACTTACACAATCAACAGTATTGGTGACATTTTCCCACAAGTATATCAGTAGGTGGAATTCTGTACTAAAGCACTTGAGCGAAGTTAACAAGAGATGCCCAATCATACTACAAAAGCATTTGTTCAACTATGTTCATAGCAGCACTATTTGTAATAGTGCAATATATATAGTGTAATAGTGTAATAGCCAGAACCTGGAAACAACCTAGGTGTCCCTCAACGGAAGAATGGATAATGAAAGTGTGGAACATATACACATTGGAGTTTTACTCAGCGGTAAAAAACAATGACATCTTGAATTCTGCATGAAAATTGATGGAAATAGAAAACACTTTACTGAGTGAGATAACCCAGACCCAAAAAGATGAATATGGTATGTACTCACTCATAAGTGGATTCTAGCCATAAGCAAAGGTCATTGAGCCTATAATTCGTGATCCTAGAGAAGCTAAATAAGAAGGTGAACCCAAAGAAAAACATATATGTATCCTCCTGGATATAGACAAGATTGCAGGGCAAAAGTTGTGAGCATGGGGGATGGGTATGGGGAGAGAGAAGGGAGAAGGGGAGGATTGGGGAGAGCTTGGGGGAATGGGAGGGTTGAGATGGAGGAAGGGTGAATATGGGAGCTGGGAAAAAGATAATTAAGGGAGCCAATTTAGGGTTGGCAAAAGACTTGGCTCTAGAGGGGTTCCCAGGTGTCCAAGGAGATGTCCCCAGCTAGGTCCTTGGGCAGCAGAGGAGAGGGTGCCTGAACTGGCCTTGTCCCATTGTCACACTGATGAATATCTTGCATATCACCATAGAACCTTTATCCAGCGATGGATGGAGATAGAGACAGAGACCCACACTGGAGCACTGGACTGAGCTCCCAAGGTCCAGATGAAGAGCAGAAGGGAGAATGTAAGCAAGGAAGTCAGGACCACGAGGGGTGCGTCCACCCACTGAGATGGTGTGACTGATCTAATGGGAGCTCACCAA